GTATAGCCTGAATGCACTGTAAGTCGCTTTGGATAAAAGTGTTATTATTAATTAAATTATAACTAAAACTGAAAACATTAAAAAACCTTGACTGAAATAAATGTTAAGAAGCTTAAACCTATTTTAGACACCTTTTTTTTTTTCTTGAAAAAGGTGCTTGTGTTTCTGGTTTGTTAATGACATTTTTACGTGTGACTTCAGTGTCCAAAACCTTTTACGTTCAATTGGATCTGATATTAAATATCCTAATTGCTGGATTATTAAATACACGTCTATTTATTCAGGTTCAGTATCACATAAACACACCCTAATTGCACCATGAAAAATCTGGAGAGAGAGAACAGAACGAACAATGTAGGCTACCGTGCAGACGAGGAACATGATCATGTGTTATGACGCAAGTATTGAATATCAGAGACTATTCATTTGACAACTGTCCAACAAAGAAAACTTAGCTTGTTCTGCGTCTCTAAAGCGAGGTGTCGGTTTGCAGAAGGGTCAGAAGAGTTTGAGCTATTTTGAACACAAGATGAATGTCAGCATGACTCAGCATGACAGCATAAATGTCAGCCTGACAAGCACGTCAGCCTCTCACGGCTGTGATTAACTGATATCTAATAGTTAAATATGATTGAAATATGTCGCCCACACTACGGCCCTTGTCAAATAAAGTATCAAAGGCAGGTGGAGATCGCTGCTCACTTGTTAGTAGCTCATTTGTTTGATCATCTAATGAATTGCATTGGGGTATTTAAATATTTACATAGCTACTGTATTTAACCGATGTATGCTGCTATTCTAACGTCGTGCTTTGAGGTAAATCTAAACCAACACAACTGCACAGATCAGTCAGCTTAACGTAATCACCCAAATCTTTACAATGCGATTCACGTGAAACTCACTGACATTTGTACTTGAGGTTTCACGTGGAGTGCTGCTTTTAAAGCTAATCATTACAGAGGTGCATGAAATATGTGTGGCTTTCAGCTCTGGGCTGTGTGCCAGTGGAAAATCATTTCAAATGCATGTTTTACATGACTGCTCTGAAAGATCTGTGTGTCATTGTGTGATTACAGAATGTTTTTTCCTCAATCGAAAGGTTTTGATTGCACTTTTGATAGGAGCTTCATCTCATCTCTGCTGCTGCTCCAGCGGCTCTGGATGTGAACTCAGTGTGAACTTCTGGAAATCAGCGCCTGTGGAAATACAGCACAGTCACACACTGCACCAAATGGTCAGTTTTGATCATTTTGTCCCCTCCGAGCTGCTAAAATCCTCATGTTTCAGTGTTTCGTGCAACATGTGCGATGTCATATTGTCATGTTGATAGAGGATCTCCTCAAGGTACAGTGATTTTACGGCATGTGCATTTCATGGTATGCTGCATTCAAGCACAAAACCACCACCACAGACTATTTGTATAAGTATTTCACCCTAAAATAAAATGATCACCACCATCATCTTTTACCATCAAGTTTCCAATAAAACTGTCTAAAGGTTGGCAAGTTCTGAAGAAGAGATTAAAATGTTTGTAGATGTGATGTCAAAATCTAAAAATAGTAAAGCAATTAAAACGATTAATACCGGTATATGCTCCTCCTTTAACATTTTCACATAATATAAAAAAACAATAATAATAATAAATAATGGTGCTGACCTGCAAAGTATATTTTCTGTATTAAAATTTGCATTGTAATATCCTATGGAAATGTAAATATATGTATAATATATATTTGTCTGTAAACTGATGCTTATGTACCCTCTTTTTTTTGTGTCTTTTTTTTCCTTTCCTTTTCTTGTTCCTTGTTCCTTCTTGTTGAGGCATGTGAAATGTTTTTGTTATATAGTGAGATATGGCACTGCACATGCTACTTGTTGATAATAAAGCATTATATAAAAAAAAACAAAAAAAAACAAATCCCAGCGGGTTCCGTCACTTTTTTGGGTCCCCTAGAAACATTTCCGCTGTGGTCCGTGCTATTTAAAAACGTTCTGAAGACAAACAAAGCACAATCAAAATGACAATTTCTTGTTTCCAGAAGGCATATGACAGGCCAACTCGTGACTCATTTTCAAATCAAGTAGCCTAATTTCTTGCAATAACATGGCTTTCAAATCAGCGTTATTTTAGTCTCATTGATGTACTACAACAGTTTTTATTAGTATTTTGAATTAGATTTTATTTGTAAATATATATATATATATATTTTTTTTTTTACGTTTTTGTCATTTTTATTTGTTTAAATGTCTGTATTTTTATTGATTTTTATTTCAGTTTGAGTTTTTTTAGGGTTTTTTCCCCCAGCAACTAGCTACAATATAATATAAAATTATTTAATTTTGTTTCAGGTAACTTTTTTGGTTAGCTGAAAAGTTAGTTCAAGTCAGTATCAAGTTAGCTGAAAAGTTACCTGAAATAAACTTGATACCTAAAATGGCTTTAGTCTATATCCCTGCCACATCCCTCAAAATTCCACAAAGAATAGAACAGCTTTGGGATTTGGGCATATGGCAAGACTCACGTTCTCTCATGAAACTAAAAACATTTCAGATGAATAAAGATCGATTACTATGTTAATAACTAGCTGTATAACCATAACGTTTTAAAAATTGGTCTAACTCTCCGCTCCATAACAACAACCGCACAAAGGAACTATAATGCTGGAAACATATTCAACACTTATTATTTTTTTATTATTAATGAAGAAATAAGCCTTCCAGCAACACCATTCCTGATTATCCAGGGCGGGAGACCAAGTTTAAGAGCTTAAGAGACAGGATCTTTTGTAAGAATAAAAGGTGAGTGTTGCCAAACGTGAACGGAGGGGATTTCATCTTAATCTTCTGTTAGTGACTCTGAATGTAAGACTTTAAAGCATTCCTCTACAACTATAGAGAGCTTTATATGTACAGTACTGAAGTCAATAAAGGCAGTACAGAGCTGGTCAATCTTCTCTAACTGACCTGTAGACTGTGCGTTTGGTGTGTGTGTTTCTCTGTGATGGGACTGAAGTGAGGCCTGAAGGGTCAACAGATCGAAGTTTCCTCTCTGATATTTCTTAACTGCTCTAGATTCATAATGTCGCATGTCTGGAGTCTCCGGCGTCAATCTGAGGAGAAATCAGAAATCTGTTAAGACTGGTAAAGAGCATTTTTACTTTCACCTATTGCCCTTGAACTATAATGTCATCCGACTAAGTTACATAAGTTAGTATATGCTCCAGATGTTATTATATGATCATCAGCATGCAGTGATTACATTTTTATGTAGGCCAGTACATTAGTGTCACCTGGCTCCCTCGACAAAAACCCAGTGGGATTTTTTTAAGCTCTGTGGCCAATGAAAGTGTATGATTCTTACAAATTTTGTTCATCATGATAATCAACTTTTATGAATTTTGAAGCCTAAATACAAATGTCAGAAGTAAAAAAAGATAAATGTAGGCTATAAATGAACTAAACCTCAGTCACATGACTTCAAAATCACCACCATTAAGCTTCTGACAACTCTTTCAGTCTTTATTTAAAAACATTTTCCCTGAAAGTTTGAGTTAGAATAGTTTGTAAGAGTTTGAACAAACACAGTGAGGCTAGTGAGTAGATGAGTTTTTCTGTTCGGTGTTTGGTATTTAGTGTCTCCGACAACCTCTGTAGTCCCATTTAGCCACTTGAGAGCAATCATCTTTTTAAAATCTAGAATAAAACATCAAAATATCTTGATTTTTGTGTTCACCACAGACAAAAAAAACATTCACAAACCCCATTGGCTTCAGGATGATGGAACCAGAAGTGCTAAAAAGGATGTTTCTAGGTTTTAGCCTATAAAAATACATCATCCCTGCAGCACTGCTAAAGCGCTGCTGATTTCTTGACTAATTTGAAACCCTAATGCAGGGTTCCTCAAATCTTGCCCTGGAGGGCCAATGCTCCAACCCTGATCAAAGTCACCTATTTTCTAATGATCCCGAAGACATTGATTAGCATGCTCAGGTGTGTTTGATTAGGGTTAGAGCTAAACTCTGCAGGAAAGTGGATCTCGTGGGCCAGATTTGAGGATCCCTGCCTAATGTGTGCTGCATGTGGCCTAAAGCAGGGGTGCCCAAACTCGGTCCTGGAGGGCCGGTGTCCTGCAGAGTTTAGCTCCAACTTGCCTCAACACACCTGCCTTTAAGTTTCTAGTATGCCTAGTAAGAGCTTGATTAGCTGGTTCAGGTGTGTTTAATTGGGGTTGGAGCTAAACTCTTCAGGACACCGGCCCTCCAGGACCGAGTTTGGACACCCCTGGCCTAAAGTACTTTACTGACAGCACAAACTAGTGTGAATACATCAGAGTACACATAAACAAATTTTCTCAGCTAGTTTGAGAAAATGCAAACATTTCAAGTCATTCAAATATTAAAAGATGATAGGATGCAAAGTGAATTTCTCTTTTTTTAATACCAGTAGGCTTCTGTAATTGTGTCTGTGTCTCTCTCACCTGTCCAGATGTGAGCTGACGGCATGCACTCTTGCGATCTGACCGGGATACAGTCCCAAAACATCTCGGCCCTGCCGGTGAGCACTGGAGAAACACAGTAAACAGATCAAACAAACATGATGCACACAGTAAAACATGCTAACATGCGTCAAATCAGTATATATATATTAAAGCAATAAAACTGGTCACATTTTGACTGAAACATACGTTACACAATGTTGACATTTTAAGTTAAATTAATACGGTTGCAAATGCCGGCCCTCCAGGACCGAGTTTGGACACCCCTGGCCTAAAGTATCCCCTGGTGGCCGTAGAGTGAACTGCAGTCTGGCGCTGGGTAGACTGTATTTGAGCTTTACTGACAGCACAAACTAGTGTGAATACATCAGAATACACATAAACAAATTTTCTCAGCTAGTTTGAGAAAATGCAAACATTTCAAGTCATTAAAATATTAAAAGATGATAGGATGCAAAGTGAATTTCTCTTTTTTTAATACCAGTAGGCTTCTGTAATTGTGTCTGTGTCTCTCTCACCTGTCCAGATGTGAGCTGACGGCATGCACTCTTGCGATCTGACCGGGATACAGTCCCAAAACATCTCGGCCCTGCCGGTGAGCACTGGAGAAACACAGTAAACAGATCAAACAAACATGATGCACACAGTAAAACATGCTAACATGCGTCAAATCAGTATATATATATTAAAGCAATAAAACTGGTCACATTTTGACTGAAACATACGTTACACAATGTTGACATTTTAAGTTAAATTAATACGGTTGCAAATGAAATTGCTTAATTTACACACTTTATTCAGTCAACATCCATGTCTGGAACTGAAAGCGGTTTATTTTGAAATGTTAGGAGTCAAAGACTCAAAAACCCTTTGGACATACATGTGTGTTGTTGGATGGTTTTTGGTGTCCTGACTTTCCTTAAATTCGTGTAACCTCAGAGCAACTCCTGACCCGGCCATCCTGCACTGAACCCTTGCGTAAAAACATCAGTAAAATGAATTTGGTTAAGTCTTACATGCTCATTAAGAGCAAATGCACATAAATATAAAGTAGCCCTATACAGTGAACACAATGGTTTGCATTTCAAACAAGCCTAAGCTGGTTTGCTGGTCTATCAACCTGATTTAGATGGGTTTTGGTTATTAGCTGGTTAGGCTGGAAGACTATAAGTAGACCAGCAAACCAGTTTAGGCCGGCTTGAACTGTTGTTTTATTTTTCAATATTAAGTAAAATGATGATGAACATTGTTATGCAGCTTCAGAAACAGAATTATGAATAGATCTCCATGAATTGTTGATAGTTCAATATTCATTCTGTGATTCTCATTTCTGCTGCAGCTCCTTGTGTCTCGTTGTTTTTGCTGAGTGAGTCACAGCTGAGGATATTATTGACAGGTCACAACCAAATCACACATTCAAATGCAAACTCTTTGTATGAAAACAAACTGAAACCTGTTCTGAAAGACAAACACAAGGCATCTTACCTGCTTGTTTTCAGTCAGCGTGTAGATGCATTTGCACATTGCATGGCTGAAAGTCAGCGTCCTTATGAGAGCAATGGACAGCAGTGCTTCTGTTACAGAAATCTGACACAGAGACACTGATACTGATACTACACTCATCACATCAATCAGTATCTGTTGTATTCTGGGTTTAGTCTAACAGTCCTCTCTAAAGTCTCCATTTTAATCTACAAGCTCTATAGGTCTGCAGTTTAGAAGCTGTCTCTGGTCTGGAAGCAAACAAATGCAACAGCTAAGATTAATTACGTTTTATACACTTAACCTTTGCAAACTAAATACTATAATAGTACTTTTGCATATACTTATATATGTGTGTAAATTTATATATAATTGTATAAATATATAATTTTTTACAGTGCCATTGCTAATACCTGGAAATAAAATTGTATGTTCGCTTCTTTTAAATTTTTTATATGATTGTGAATCTGAGATGAAAATGTCCTGAAATTCAGAGTTGGAGGTTTATGGCTAGATCTGGATCTGAATTTCACTTCTCAGGTTTGTGTGTGTGTGTGTGTGTGTGTGTGTGCGTGTACTAAAGGTGCTAATTAATTCAATCCATCTGTATGGTATATTTTCATGACCCCACTTTTGTTTACCTTTCTTACATAGTTTTTTTTTTTAAAATAATAATTAAAAATAAATTTAATAATAATAATAATATATTTAAATATAAAAAACATTTAATAAATGTATTAATTTTAAATAAAATATTATTAATATTTTAATAATAATTTTAATTTATATATTATATAATTTAGAAATTAATTCATACATATAATTAATATATATGAATAACATTTATTTTTATTTAATTTATATATTTATTTGAATATAAACTTACAAATAATAATAATAATAATATTTTTTTTTATATAAATGTATTTATTAAAACGCGTATTTGTCACGTTTTATTATGAAGCTTCAGTTTTATGTTTTGAACATTAGAGGGAGACATCCTGCAACCTTATATGTGAAGTCCTTATAAACTATGCACTCTTTGTCGTCTAATCAAAAGATGCATGGAATAAGTTTATAAAAATTATTCCCCAAGTTTGTGACTTTGATCGACTAGAGGTTGTTGTTCAAAGGGTAGTTTGAGTCTTAGTAGTAGCCTATTATTATTCTTGTGTCCTTTGTTTTGTGTATAGCATTTCTGCATTCATTAAATAAGACAAAGGGCCCCAAATCCTCAATCTGTCCCGGGATAGAGGCGGGGAAACTCACTGCAGCTGGTGCTTTTATTATCATTTGACGCATAATAAGTGATTTCTGGTGATGTATGTGAATATGAGGCCTCTTTTCGGTCGGTGGGAGGTCCATAAAGCATTTCTCATTCATATATAGCGAGACCAACAAAAGCCTGGGGAGCGACAAAGCCAGGAAGAGGAGGAGGACGGGGGGAGCGTCCGGTAAAAACGGGTCCCGGTGTGACGTCGAGAGGGTTCCTCCTCCGTCCCACTGGCAGCGGCTGAATGGCTGGGGCTGAAGACGAAACTACAAATCCCACTATTGCGAAGGTCCAGCTTATTGATATTAATAAGCGCAGGCTGACGTTGCTCGCCGACCACCCAATGACAAGGCTTGGTTTATGAATATTAATTAATCAGATCAGATAATATAATCAGATTATAAACAGATTTTAGGTATTGTTTAACTTCTGATTTCAAAATGAGAAATAATCGGGTCCCGGTGTGACGTCGAGAGGGTTCCTCCTCCGTCCCACTGGCAGCGGCTGAATGGCTGGGGCTGAAGACGAAACTACAAATCCCACTATTGCGAAGGTCCAGCTCATTGATATTAATAAGCGCAGGCTGACGTTGCTCGCCGATCACCCAATGACAAGGCTTGGTTTATGAATATTAATTAATCAGATCAGATAATATAATCAGATTATAAATAGATTTTAGGTATTGTTTAACTTCTGATTTCAAAATGAGAAATAATGGTTTATAATCACCGTACTTGCATTTATGTATACTAAAATTTGCCAATAAAAATGCATGTATTCTGGATGTTATTCAGTTCTCGCTGACGTTGTACATAAAATAAAATGTTCTGTCTCCAAACATTTATTTTTTTTGTATTAGATTGTACAGTATTACTTTTGTATTTATTTTATATTTATATAATATTTCTATTAAAATATTATATTATTCATATAACATTTATTTATATTTTGTGACCCTGGAGCACAAAAGCAGTCATAAGTCGCTGGGGTATATTTGTAGCAATAGCCAACAATACATTGTATGGGTCAAAATTATCGATTTTTCTGTTATGCCAAAAATCATTAGAATATTAAGTAGATCATGTTCCATGAAAATACCTTTTCCTACCGTAAATATATGAAAACTTAATTTTTGATTAGTAATATGCATTGAACTTCATTTGGACAACTTTAAAGATGATTTTCTCAATATTTAGATTTTTTTGCACCCTCAGATTATAATATTTCTATTAAAATATTATATTATTCATATAACATTTATTTATATTTTGTGACCCTGGAGCACAAAAGCAGTCATAAGTCGCTGGGGTATATTTGTAGCAATAGCCAACAATACATTGTATGGGTCAAAATTATCGATTTTTCTGTTATGCCAAAAATCATTAGAATATTAAGTAGATCATGTTCCATGAAAATACCTTTTCCTACCGTAAATATATGAAAACTTAATTTTTGATTAGTAATATGCATTGTTAAGAACTTCATTTGGACAACTTTAAAGGCGATTTTCTCAGTATTTTGATTTTTTTGCACCCTCAGATTCCAGATTTTCAAATAGTTGTATCCCTACCAAATATTGTCCTATCCTAACAAATCATACATCAATGGAAAGCTTATTTATTCAATCTGAATTTCAAAAAACGCGGAAGGTTTATCTTATGAATATTAATGAGCTCCCACTAAAGTCTCCCGCTGACCTTCCAATGCCGACGCTTGCCTCATTAAAATTAAGAAGCGGGCCTTCGCCGTAGTAGGTTTCGGGAAATTCGCGTGCTGGAGACGGGGTGCGCCGTCACCGCGCTTTCTGCTTCGGGTTACGCCATCATTCATCCAGGGTCATTCGGTTCACCGGGGTAACGGAGATGATGGCCACATCACGGGCGCGCGTGCCTCCGTGCTCCTCATGACCGACCGGCGGCGGCGGCAGCAGCAGCAGCAGCAGCGTGCGGGTTTGGGTTTGTCTCACACCGGGCTGGCGTGGATCCGATCCCACCGTCTGGCGGAGCGTCTGCCAGGTAACGTACTGCGTGCTTCGCGTTGTTTATTTTTCCTCCATCAGCGAGCAGCATCACGGACAAGGCCGAGCATCCGCGCTGGAGCATCACTGGCCGCCGCCGGGTGGGGATGCTCCTCGGCCTTGCCCGTGATGCTTGCTGGACATAACAAGCGCTTATTTACACATCGAGCGCTATTTTGATATAAATTTACATTGTAAACACATTCAAACCACATCCTGCGTGGTATTATTGATGCGCGTCCACCATTTTACGCATTTCGGACAAATAGAAAACAAGAGCGCGTGCAATTCACATCCTCTGGTCTAAATGCATGTGTGTTTGTATTGTTATCACAGCCGTGTTTTTGAACAAACATTCATTAATGTTCATTGGCACGCTTGTGCTTGTTCGTGGCGCGCTGTCAGTCCGCTGTATGGATTTATTATGATGGCGTTGGATTATATAACAGCAGCTCAATATGACACAAAAGCCGCTGCTTCATTGTGGTTATTGTGATTTGTCATGTTAATTGCTGTCACATCCTTGTGTGTGTGTGTGATGCCCAACCGTGTCTGCCATTGTTTTTGTTGACATTGGTTTGGGTGGCTTCTGTTGTTTAGACATCTCGTTTATTCTAACGACGGGAATTATGCATCTGTTTTATTCGACGTGTGTCAAAATGAGCCTCTTTGGTAAAGAATATGTTTTTAATTTCTGAATTTAAAATCATTTTGATGTTTTCCTGATTTGAAGTCAAAAAGGTCTTTGTGGTGAAACTGGGGAAAAAGCAATAGAAAAAAAGCTCATTTTGTTATAATATTTTATTGTAATTTCTTTAAAAAGAAGCAATTTTGTTTTAAAATGTTATTAATATTTAATAAAAACAAAATCTGTGTGGCGTAATCAATGTGCAGGAAGCCATTTTGTTGTCATGGAATCATGTTTGATTCCAAGATGATGCTAAATAAATAAAAAAATGATAAAGGTCTAATATTTTAAGTGATTTTAAGATCATTGCAAGGTTGATTTGGAAGTTCTAAGGTAATGAAGTGAAATGTTTGATTCCAAGGATGTAAGATTCTAAGATGATTCTTGACTGAAAGTGAGGTCTACTTTTTGTAAAATTCTGATTGTATTAGAAATCTAATTCTAATTTGATTTTTGTTTTTTTGTTTTTTAATTTTCCAGTGTTCTAATATTAATTTCGTCACTCCAGGGTTCAGCAGTTGATTCTGAGATGGTTCTAAGATTAAAATATTCTATTGTTCATAGGGTTCTAATATTCCTTGTAAAATTCTGATTTCTTAGGTTCATTCTCAGATGGTTTTAAGACACATTTTAGGCTCTTATGTTGTTTTAGGTTCTTCTAAGATTGATTGTAGAAATCCAAGATTGGTTCTAAGGTTGTAAAGGTGATTTGTGAGATTTTAAGGTTGATTTTAAATCAATTCTAAAATGATACTAGGCAAAAAATGACAAAAGTTTTATTTTAAGATAACTGTCAGGTTGATTTCCAGGGTATAAATTTAAAATGATATTATTCTAAAGATGTAAGATTCTAAGAGTGAGTCATAGTTTTTAAAGTTGAATGTTGAATTACTGTAAAATTCCAATTTTGGATAGGATTCAAATTTTTTTTTTAGTATTATTTAAGAGTTTATACTGAGATGATTCCAAGAGTTGATTTATTAAGGGGTTCTACCGTTCTACTGGACATTTTCTTATAAAATTCAAAATTTGAAGAGGTTCTAAGATTGATTCTGAGGTTCCAGTGTTGATTCTAATGCCATCGGGTTGTTTGATCGGTTGTAGTATATCAAGGTTGATTCTTAGCTGGTTCTAAGATTCTGCGTTTGATTATGTGGTTCTAAGATGAATTCCAAGGTTCTAAAGCCTCATAATCCAGAGAAGAGGTAGACCGAAACAGGGCTGTGTTTAGAGTCATGCATAGCTTCAGCATCCAGTGTGAGAGAGGAAGAGAAGGCCACGGGAAGAGGCGGCAAATGTTTCCCTGCTCCTAACAATGGCTTTATTTCTCATGGAAGTGTGTGTGTGTGGGAGAGGGGGAGAAGCGGAAGAGAATGACCCATGTTTGTGTGTTTTCTCTCCTTTGTTGTTTCCTTGCAGGCTGAGTCACCACTGGAGTGTCTGAAGGGTCGCGAGAGAGAAAGTGAAGGAGGAGGCTGAGACGTTACATCACAACGTGGCAGAGAAAGTGAGAGGAAGAGTGTGAGAGAACAGGAGAGCAGAGCGAGACGGCCGTAAGGGAGAGCGAGAGAGGAAGTCGAGCACTGGACTGACCCTTGAACTCTGACCTCGGAGCCAACATGAACGACCAGAACGTAGTGAAAGAGGGATGGGTGCAGAAGAGAGGTGAGAAACAACAGCACTGAAATATTGATGTATTAATGAGTGTGTTTTCTAGAGCCCGGCCGATATATCGTTTTGCCGATATTATCGGCCGATATGAGCCTGTTGCCGATATATATCGGTATCGGCGAATATGCCGGCGATATGAAATTTTTTTTTACAGAACATATAATGCAGATAAAATGCTTGAAATGGTGTAATTACTTAGTTTGTCCAGCAGAGCGTGCTCTATTGTTTGCTACTGGTGACCTGGATGAAACGCTTTTGAAGGTTAAGTCTATGGAAAACCACTGAAACTTTGAACGGCCATATCTCCGTAACGGCGCGGCGAATCCGCACCAAATTCGGGGGATCCCTTCAGCTCGAGGAACCCTCTCGAACGCGAATCGAGTGTACGTCTAGAGGCCCGCTTTCGAATGAGACCACCCGTGGAGGCTGGCGTTCGAGAGGGCTCCTCGAGCTGAAGGGATCCCCCGAATTTGGTGGAGATCCGCCAGCGCGTTCGTGAGATAGTGACACCAGTCAACACTTTCACTTCAGTAAGGA